TAAGGAAGTATTTTCTTCAGTAATCTTTTGGACTTCCTTTTCCATTTGGCCAATTTTGCCCATAGGCAGCGTGTCAGTCTGGTATGAGGCTCATACATCTTTTGTTGTCAACAAGTAAAGGACAGGATTTAAAATTGTAACAGAAACAGTTGATAAACAGACTGTGTTATTGTTAATAATATGGATCCATATAGTGGAATTCGTACATAATATATTCATGTAGTGCTCCCTGCAAGGCTCACAGCTCAGAGGGGAAAAGTAGAACTTTTAAGGAATGATGGTCATATTCATAGCTTCATGCTCTTTGATGTGTTTTTTCTTAACAAGTAGATGAAAAGATAGATTTTTTGAACTAAACATAAAGTCAGGCTAAATTATGGTAAAACTAAAGACAGTTCCAACAATTTTTCACTCTCTCTTGCCATTTATTTCCACCTAAAATAGTGTATGCTTTCTAGAGATTAAAAAGTCAGGTGAGAACTATTGAAAATCAATTCTAATTGTTATGTAGTTTGGAGAACCGTGTAGCACAGTTGTCATACTTTGTTATTACCCTCGGAGTTGTAAGGCACCTTAGAGGTCACCAAGGCCAGCTCTTTTCCAGCATCCCCAGAAAATGATCTTATAGCAACACCTCTAGGGATGGAGAAGCCATTTTCTCCCGAGGCCACTTGTTCTGTTATTGACTAGTTCTAATTGTTAGGAATTGCTAATGTATCAATCTGAAATCTGCCTTCCTTGAATCTTTACCTGTTGCTTTTAGTTTGTCACTCCACCCCTTCTCCCCCACCCTATCAGCCTCACAGAGTAAATTAGTACCCTCTTCCAAATGACAGACCTACAAATTGATCTTGTTCTGTCCTACCACCACCCCACCCCATATCTCCTCTAGGTTAATCCTCAGTTTCTTAGCTACTTGTGAAGGCATGGATCTGTATGCATAAATCATTTGTGTGTCTACATACATTAATTAGATCTTTAGGTGAAGTGTGATTCAGAGTTAAAACAGCTTTTATTCCACCTGCTAGGCTACTTATTCCCAGTGACTTCTGGACAGGTAGTTGATTTGTGTTTCAGCTCTTGGTGACATTGAAAAACACAGCATGTCCAGAGAGGACAACCAGAATGTTGAGGAGACTTAAAACCATGACCAGAGGAAGGTCAGTTGAATGAGTTAAAGATACTTAGTCTGATAAGAAAAGATTTAGATGGGATATTATTTCTGTCATTAAATATTCAAAAGACTTCCATGTAGAAGAGAGATTATATTTCTTCTTCTTAGCCCCAAATGGTAGGACTATGATCAGTGCATGTGAAGTTACAGGTAGCTAGATTTCTGTTCAGTATACAAGAATTTCCTTACAGTGAAAACTGTCCAAAAATAAAATGGGCTTCCCCATCACTAAGTCTTCAAGAGAATGATAGATGATACTTGGCTCTGAAAGAGATCTTGCTTAAGGTAGGATAGATGACTTCTAAAATCACTTTGAGCTGTAAAATTTTTAAAATCCTGCTAAAATTGTATACTTCCTATTTTGAAAATATTATAATCTGCTTTAAAAAAAATCAATTTCATCATCAAAAGCTTTTTCTAAGAAAATCACCTGTAATCTTTACTGTCTGTGTCAGAACAATGTATTGAAAACTGGGTCAGATCAGTGGTGTTGACCCAACAAAAAAACTTAGTCTCTGATTTATCAAGTCAAATCATTTTCTTTGGGTAGACAATCAACAATTTTCTAGGTTTCAAAAAAATGTGAAAACTACAAATTATTCTCATTGTCGAGCAGTGAAGTGTCTGGTAGCTACAAAAATTACTAGCCTGAAGGAATCACATTTTTAGTTTGTGGTCAGATTTTCATTTGTCTTCTGCCGGGTTTCTTTTTCAGCCCAGACTTTTGAGTTCATAAATCCATGATTTATATTACTCAAACATATAACAATGTAGCACTTCCTTTGGATAGAATATTTGCATTAAGAACTTTTGTATTGGAATATTACTAAAAATTTTGCTTGTTTATTCATATTTCACTTTATGATGTCATTTAAAAAAAAATTTCCTCTTGGGTTACTAGGTGGAAAATGGTTGATCTTCAAAAACCACCTGAATATCACCAGCGTAACCTTTGCTGACCGTGGGCTTTATACTTGTTTAGTCACCTCTCCAGTCCATGCCTCTTACTCTGTCACCCTAAGAGTTATCTTCACTTCAGGAGACATGAGCATCTACTACATGATTGTTTGCCTGATTGCCTTCACAATAACTCTTATCCTGAATATTACACGTCTGTGCATGATGAGTAGCCACCTTCGAAAGACTGAGAAAGCCATCAATGAATTCTTTAGGACAGAAGGTGCAGAGAAGCTTCAGAAGGCCTTTGAGATTGCTAAACGCATTCCCATCATTACTTCAGCCAAGACCCTAGAACTGGCCAAAGTTACACAGTTTAAGACCATGGAGTTTGCCCGCTATATTGAAGAGCTAGCGAGAAGCGTTCCTCTCCCACCTCTCATTCTTAATTGTAGGGCATTTGTAGAGGAGATGTTTGAGGCAGTGCGGGTGGATGATCCTGATGACATGGGAGAAAGAATCAAAGAAAGACCAGCCCTCAGCGCCCAAGATGGTATCTATGTCATCACTTCAGATATTGGGCGTAGTAATTCACCAGAAGGAGATTCAGAGGATGGCTCCCTGAATGAGCAGGGCCAGGAGATAGCAGTTCAGGTTTCTGTTCATCTTCAGTCAGAAACTCAAAGCATTGGTACAGATTCTCATAATAGTTGTCATTCCAACCCATCTGAAGAGTTAGGATCTCCTGAACTCAACTCTAACTGCAGAGATGGGGCATCTGAAAGTTAACTTTGATCACTTCACACCACATAGGGGAAGGTATCTAGGAGAACACACTTGTCTCTGTCAACAATGACAGAAATTACTGGGCTTTTTTGCGGAATGAAAATTGCCAAATTTAACGGGGGGAAATGCAAAAGTTTTTTCTTGTTATTTCTCATCCATGGTTGTCAGCTTCTCAAATTTTATTCAGACATAGACTCCTCGAATTTTAGAGCTGGAAGAGATCTTAGAAATCAGTGTGGCATAGTGAAAAATCACATAAGAAGTCAGAAGACTAGAGTTGTGGTCCTTGTTGCCCCTTTATTGATTAGTTCTGTAGCCCCAAACAATTACTGTAACTCTCTGGGCCTCAGTAAAATAAGATGATTAAACTAGATGATCTTTAAGCCACTTTCAAGCTCTAGAATTCCTTTAGCCATCTTTTCTAAAGCAACAAAATCTTTAACACATCCCAATAAAAAATCCTTCCCACTCTTTCACTACCAATTTAGGGAGGGACTAGATCTTGACCTTGTTCCTTTGTTTAGGTATCTACCCTAATGCCATGATGCCAAGAAATAGGATTTAGGAGGGGGTTTTTTCCCCAAATTTTTTATCACATGGATAGTGAAATTGCATGACCTTGGTTACATCTGTATGATGAACTGTGCTTGTATATTTGTTAATGTACAGGTTAAAATATACAGATAAAATGGGAGGCTTAATTTTAATCCACGAATAAATTACTCTGAATAAATTGTTTCCATTTGAAAGATATCTTTTAGGTGACCAGGTTACCATTTAATACATTGAAGCAGTAATTTACGAAATGGTTCATTCACAAAGCTAATTTCACCTGAGAAATATTTCCTTTGATGTTTTATTTAAACAAGATACAGTATCCAGCTGCCTTTGGTATAAATCATGAGATATAAAGATTTTTAAATAATTTTTCAAACTAACTTTTCAAGTATTCTGAGCTTTGGAAAAAGATTATGTGGGAGAAATCCCATTCTAACCAAGAATATGCAACCAATTTCTCAGTCTTTGAAAGTCCATAGATCATCTCTTCTTAGTCATTTAAATATGGCAATAAAGATTATCTTTCCACATCTGCCCCCAACCCTCATGCCTCCAACCATACTCTTATTTGAATTTGGAGATAGGGTTGCGTTAGTGATCAGTTAGAAGAAATTCAAGAGGTTTACCCAGGAGTCGTAAACCTTTAATAAAAAAGATAATAAAGTCTATGTTATGTTTACTTTGATATTTCAAAGAGTCAATTATTTCATTGATGTGTATATATCTTCCACCAACTCATAGTTGCTATAGCCAAAGCAATTCATTACCTGGAAAGCCATCCTTTTGATGATAAGCCTTTCCTGAATTTCCTGGGCTTCTTGAATGACAGACACATAATCTATCAGTGGTCCCTTTCAGCTCAATAGAACCTGTTATGGGGTTACCAGGCATGGTTTTAAAGGATCCAGGCTCACCTCCATGACATGGTGAAGCCATGGCATTAGGATTTTAATGGAAGTCAGTTGTATTACTGTATAAATATAAAATAACCAATTGGTCTTTAAAGTACTGATTGGTCTTGGAATTATCTCAAAGCATGAATTTTGTAATGTGGGATTTGTGGTTCAGCTGTATATGTGAACCATTCAGATTGCATTTCTTGTTTGAGATGTGGTGTTATTATCTCTCATAAACGTGCTACAAATTAATTTCTTTCAGTTCCTGAAAGTACAGTGCCATATCATTGTAAGAACTTGGCAACTAAAACACCATTTAGTACCTCACATTTTTGTCCTTTGGCTTCCAATTATTGGAACATACCGGGAAAGAATGGCTCCTAAGGGGAACTTTTAGAGAAGACTTGATCAGGATTTAATTTCTGGTTTCAGAGGAAGAAGGGCAAAAAAAAAAAATAAACTCATAAAGTTCATCATTCCCTTTGTCTTGGTTGATCAGAAGTAACTCATCTGCCCTACGTAGGAACAGATCCATATACAGTTGTATCAGATGCCATTAAGGATAAAAAGAAATGATGCATCCATTTCTGATCCAGTGAAAATTTAGTGAAAGGTTGTGTATTACTTAGATGATAGACATATTTCTACAAGTATTTTTTTCCCATATATTTGGCCATGGAGCAAAGGTTTTTGCTTTTGAACATCTGAAAGTTTCAGAACACTTCTGTTTTCCCACTATTACCATAATGTTAGAAGAATTTTTTTTAAATCCTTTTTTTAGGTGACCTGGTACGCTCTGTTTTATGCCTCAGATGCTGGCTTTGACCTAAGAAGATGCAACTTGATCAGAAAATACATCATTTTCTAGAACACAACTGCCATGTTACAGAAAAAAATAGCTTTGTATGGAATATTTCGATAGTAGAAATTGAAATGTTTTAGGAATGCTAATATATGGTCCATAATGATTAATGTCCAACAAAATGAAGCCCCAATTTGATGGATTTTTTTTTCTGCATAGTTTTACACTAAAACATACAACTTGATGAAAGCTAGCTAACTCAGAAGTGAGAGTATTTTTGAAATATTCAAGAGTAACTTGGTTTTGAAGCAAATGGGGCTGTGTAATTGTGAACAACCTAGAGATAGTGGTCCTCTTGGCAGTTACTGTAAGTCAGCATTTAAGCATAATTGTTATCTCAGGCATCCTTCTCCCTTCCCACCCACCCTCCACCAGCATTATTAATTGATTCCAGGAAAATACATTGGGCAGAATTATATTATGAGGAAGTAAGATTCATAACTTCAGCTCAAATTTAAATCATTGCCAGCCACTTTGCATCTCAGGCAAACAGATAAATGAGGTTTTTATTTTGGAATTTTCCAATATTATGTTGAGGTTCAATTATCACATTAGTGACATCAAATGTTAGATGTAAGCAATGTTATGCAAAATAACCCTGCACTTGCTTAGCACATATTTTCAGGAAGAAGAAACCATGTTTGTTATTATTCTCTGTATTTATTATTCATATATTGTTGGGTTTTAACTTTTTGTAAAATTCTTAACTTTCTGAACTAAAACTGCAGTTTTTGGACAATCACTGTAGTGTATTTATCTTTTTAGCCTGACTTGATTTTTTAAATGATATAAAATGCTGTTATATAATATTTCTAAAATAATTTCATCATGAGCATTTGTAATTTTTAAATTGTATTGTGATTTATGAACAACCAAAAATGTTGTCTATCATTGGTAAGCTTAAAGAATAAATTTTACAAAAAATGAAGCATTTTCTCTTTTCTTCTCATTAAAATCAATTAAGAGCATTATCTTTCAAGAAGATATTGGTCCAGTTTGTATGCTGTCCAATTTGTGGCATCAGGTTTTTTGTTGTGTTGTTACAACAAAAATATTGCTATTATAACATTGTGTCATGTTTTAGTGTCCTAACCTCAGGCCCCTGTTGACCATTTGATTCTTAGCAACTGCCTAGATAAAGAATTATTTTTAATTAATTGGTTATTACAAAGTAATAATAGTTTCAACACATACAGATAATCAGAATGTGAAGTTGAGCCCCAAATAAAATTATGAGTTCCAAACTATTTTCAATTTATTTCCTGTGTCCCTTTATAACCTCTAATCTACGTACTTAAGTTTTGTTATTTGGGTTTTTGTGTGTCTATATGGTAATTATATTCAACATATATTGTTGACTTTCTTTCTCATCACTTCACATCAGTCTTTCTATATTTTTAAAAAAAATAGTTCATTTAAGTAATTTTTATGGCAAGAAAGTATTCAGTTACTTCAGTTTATCACAATTTAGCAAATCATTCCCTAGGCTTTGGACATATTGTTTTATAATTACAAATGATCCAATAGGGCATATTTTTATACAGATAAGCACTTTTTATGTTTTAATGCTATCTTTAGAATATACATGTAGTCCCAGTGGGATTTCTGAGTCAGAAGGTAGGTTCAGTTTCGTAATTGACTGTTTTCCAAAAAATTGCACATTTCTGCAGTTCCACTGACAGTACAACAGCGTCCTTATCTCCCCATGACCCTGGCAACATTTTACTTTATAGGTTTTGTCAGTTTGATTGTCAGTTGATACCTCAAAGTTGTTCCAATTTTAATTTCGATTATCATTAGGAGAAGCAGCATGTTATAGTAAATAGATGATCTTGGAGTTAGGAAGAGTTGTATTCAAATCCAACGTCTGACATATATACTGGCTATGTGACTCTGGACAAGTCACTTAATCCCTAGCAATTCCCTAGGCAATTCTCAGACTATTTTAAAAAGAGAAAATCTTTGACTATTTTTCCATTGTTAGACACAGGGAGCAGGAAGTAGATAGAGCAATGCATGAGGAATCAGGAGACAAGTTCAGACCCTAGCTTTCCACTTCTTAGTAATCCTAGTGGCTGTGTGTATAATTTTATGTTATTGTTCTAGTAAATGTTACTGCCACACACACACATCCAAACAGTCTAGTGTTATAGTAACAACTCACATTAATTTATAGGTGTTTTAAATTTATTTTCAATTAACATATATTTATTTCCCACTTCTTTCCCCTCCCCTATTGGGCAGGGGGGACCCTTGTAACAAATGTGCACAGTCAAGAAAAACAAATTCCTGTTTGCCATGTCCAAAACATTAATTCTTAACCTTACAACTTTTCTGTAAGATTAATAAGGCAATGATAATAAGTCATATTTTGTAACGACAAGAAAATAATTCATGCCAAATGACTTTGCAGAGGTCACATAGCAAGGAAATAGCAGAGCACAGTTTAAAAATTCAGTCCTCTGACTCCAAATCTAGATAGTTGTCCCTTTTATATTCCTTCATTTATATATAATAGAAACGACGTAGTCTAGCAAAAAGAGCGTTGTACTAGGACTTAGGAAACCTAGATTCATGTCCTACCTCAGCTGTTAGCCTGCTGAATGAACTTTGGCAAGTCACAACCTGGTTGGGTCTCAGTTCCCTATTCTGTAAAATGAAGAATTTGTTCCAGCTGACATTTAAACTCCCTCCAGCTCAAAGGAGCTGTCAATAAAATCATTCCATTCCCTCTTATACTGGGAATTTGGACATTTTTTTGCCTTTCAGGGAATGGATGGAAGAAATTAGGAGCATTCTCTTAATACTTTCAAGTTCAACTACATTGTAGATAGGTGATCACTAGACCTTATGTTTGAACATTGAAAGCTATAAGTACATGGGAGAGTGTATACCTACCGAGTGTATACCTACCTACACCAGAGTAACAAAAGTCTTTATTTCATTTGCAAGTGTCAATGTTGAAGATACTTGAGGCAGCAGGAAGCACCGTAGATAGATTTTGGGGCTTGGAGTCAGAAAAACCTGGATTCAAATCCAAACTCTGTGACCCTGGGCAAGTCACTTAGCCTCTGCCTCATTTTCCTCAACTATAAAATGGGGATAACAGCATGTACCTCAGAGAGTTATTGTGAGATCAGAGATATTCATAAAGTGCTTAGCACAGTGCCTGGCACATAGTTATTTAAATGCTTTCTCTTCCCCCCCCCCACTCTCACTCTCTCTCTCTCCCCATGTGTCACATGCCATCCCAAGTCTTCTCCGAGTCAAATATCCCGCAGTTACTTTCATAAGTGGTTGAATGATTCATTTCAAATCTGCCTGCTATCCTGATCAATGCTCCAGCGTTGATCTGACTATATCCAACTACAATAGCACTACCTCAGTCTGAATAATCCCTGTGCTTAAATTAATGCAGTTGAAGATCACATTGAGAGACAATGTAGCAGAATGGACAGCAAGCTGGCCTTGGAGTTAGGAAGACCTGGGTTCGAGTCCTTCCTTTTCCCAGACGTATGGCTGTAGGCAAGTCCCTTAAGCCCTCAGTGCCCCCAGACAAGTAAGATTTTAAGTTACAAACAAGTTGCAGATCTGCATCATTGGAGGGAGCTTCTACACAAAGTTTCTTACACAAGTGAAATCACAGGTATGGACAAAATAACCTTTTTTTTAGTTGCCACATCATACTGTTTCATTGAGTTTGCAATCAGTTTTTTGTTTCTTTTTACATGAATTGGTTCATCAGCTTCAACAGCCTAAGGGAAGGAGAATATAATGAGATCTACTATGTACATTGCAATCCATTCATGTCTACTTGTGTAGCTCTGTCCCATCAAAAATAAAACAGGAAAGGGGAGGGAGAATAGGCAGAGCAGAGATCCATTCTTCCTACTTTTCCTAGAGTTCAGAGGCCACCTAGAAGGAAGCCTATTGGAACCACAAGATGATGGGAATGGGGGTGGGATACAGGAACAGGGGAGGGCATTTTCTAAATGGAACTTGCATAGCTGCTACAGGTGCTCCCCCATTGACACAGTAGTAAAAAGAGGTTTGGAGCTAACTTGTACAACCGCTGGGAGAGCAACTGTTGTGGGGAGGGAATGGTTTGGAGAACATGGGGAATGGTACCATGATAATGAAAGAGTGGTATAGTTGTGTGATAAGCCCTGAGGTAGTCTACCGTGTGTCTGAGGCTGGTGGGGGGAGGTGGGAAGGTGGAGGGTTCAGTTCATCTTCCTGCCCCGCAGTTGGTTACCCCTTGAGGTAATGATAGCCCTAACTTCAGAAACCACTGACCTATAAAGTGGAAATAACTACCCTGCCTCTCACAAATGAGATGATGATGAATATAAGAGTTTAGGACCATAAAACATACAAATGTGGACTATTTGTATTATATACTCACAGAATTATCAGGTTGAACAAAACTTTTTAAGTGCGTACACTAAGTCCTCTACTGTTTGATTGCGACATAGAGGTGGACTTGGGTTCTCAAAATCGAGTGCAAACTCTAGCGATTTCTACCCCACTGTAAAAGCTTTGAGCTTGGTCCTAGAAATTGCTTTCTGAAAACTAGGAGACTCAATACCAGTAG